TTTTCCAGGTTCCTGTCACATGGAGCATTGTTTTCTACCCTTTAACTTTTAGTCTGTGAATTTCTTTTTGGATTAATATGTTTCTTGTATGCAACATATTGTTGGATCTTGTTTCTTGATCCATTCTGCCAATCTATTTCTTTCAGTTGGTGAATTGAGACCATTAACATGGACAGTTATAACTGATATGTTTTGACTTATCCTTGTCATGTTATTTTCTTGTTGCTGGTTCCCTTTTTCTTCCCTCTTCATTTAGTTGCTAGCCTTGCCTAGTGTTTTCATTCTACTGGATTCATGGAATTGTTGTCGTGTTATCTTTTTCTAGAACATTTTGGAATGCTAGTTTTATGGTCATAAATTTCAAGTGTTCTTTATCATGAAAGTATTTTATTTCTCCATTAATTTTAAAAGATAATTTTTTGGGATACATCAGTCTGGGTTGGAGGTGGGGGTTTTTTGTTTTGTTTTGTTTTTGGCTTGAAATACTTCAAGCTCTCCTTGACTTAAGGATCAGTGTTGAGAAGTCTGAGTCTGATGAGTTTGCCTTTATAGATGTCTTAAACAAGACATCTTTTCTCTAACAGCTTGAGATATCTTGTTCTTGTGTTTAATTTCTGGAATCTTGACCATTGTATGTCTTGGGATAATTTTTTCTGATAATAGCTAATTGGACATCTGTATACCTTATCTGTATGTCACATTCTTTTTCTGTGCTTGGGAAGTTTTCTGCCATTATTTCTGTGAACAGTATTTTTTTATGTCCTTTGTGTTATCTTCTGTTTTTTTATTGATTCAACTTAATTCTTTGTATCATCTGTGTTATTCTTTGTATCATCTAGCAGCTATTGGATTTTTTTGTGGTCCCTTGCTATTTTTAAGAAGTCTTTCATTTGATTAATGCTAGTTACAATCCTGTCTTCCAGATCTGATATTCTGTCTTCACATTGGATGATTCTGCTGCATATACTTTCAGTGTATGGAATTTTTAATCTCCTGGATATCTGTTTGAATCTTTTTTTTTTTTTTTTTTTTTGTACCAGAAATGAAACTCACGATCTCACACTTGCTAGGCAGGTGCTGTACTGGTGAGCTATATATCCCCAGCTGTTTGACTCTGTTTTATGAAATGCAGTTCTTTCTTGTGTTGGGCATTTATGATTCTATCACTCATCTAAGGTCCTCTTTTTTTTTTTTTTAACCTTTTTAATCTAGAGTAGATACTCTAGATTCAGTAACCATGTCCTTCATTATGGTCATCATCTCTTTAGTTGTCTGTGTAATTATTTCTGATTTATTTTTATCTAGAGCCTCATTAATCTGCTTTGTTATTACTTCAGAAAGTTCAGTTAGGTAGATTTTGATTTCTTCCATTTCATTGTTCCCTGGATTTGCCTTGGGTGAGCTGGAAGTCTGGGTTACATCTTCCTTCTGTGTTTTCTCATTTTCTACTTTTTTTTGTCTTTTTGAGACAGGATCTCACTATGCAGTTCAGGCTGGCCTTGAGCTCACTTTGTAGCCCAGGCTGGTCTCGAACTCACAACCATACCTCCTGCCTCAGCCTTGATTACAGGCGTGAGCCACCACGCCCGGCCTTCATTTTCTACTTTTAAAATTGTTTTCTGCTTTAATGCTTGTAAATTGCTAATGGTAGATACCTTTATTACTATTATCAAGACCTCTTTAGGAAATGACTACTTTTCAGACATCTTTCAGGAATAGCTGCCTTTTGGCTTTTGAATCTGTCCCAGGATCCTTCCTCTTCAGTTTATTAGGGATCAAAGGTTACTGCCTGTTTGGCCCAGTACCCAGTTTTTGACCTTCAGACAATTTTGGCATTGGCATACAAGGAAGAACTGATCATAGCTAGGTCACCTTGGATAAAGTAGTACAATTGATAGTAACAGTAGCATACCAAAAAAAAAAAAAAAAAAAGTAGCATCAAGCATAGACTAGGAAATGACAATCTTCAATAACTTAGTTTACCACCCATAGATACCAGGTTTATAGTTGTATAACAAAATCTAAAATAAATCAGAAAATTATATACAGTAAATATCCATTCATTTTTATCTTGGGAGGAAATTTAAAAGGAACAAGAGGAAAAGATTGAGAAATAAAAGATGAGAAAGAGGTTAGAAGCAAGGCTAAAGCACAAAGGAAGATTACCCAAGACTGGGGAAACTGGTGAAGACGACAGGGAAAGAAAGAAGGAAAAAATAAAAATAGAAGTAAAACAAAGCAAATCAAAACCAACATTCATAATCACCAAAAAAAAGCAACAAGAAGGTGGGGTGTGGTGGCACATACCTGTAATCCCAGCACTCAGGAGGCTGAGATAAGAGGATTACTATAAATTTGAGACCAGCCTGGGCTACCAAGTGAGTGCAAGACCAGCCTAAACTGCATAATGAGACCTTGTCTCAAAAAAAAAAAAAAAAAAAAACCCACACAGAAATAATCAAGAAATGAAAAAAAGCAAAGAACAAAAAGATCTCTCTGTGATTTCAAACCTGTGGTTATCTTCTGGGGTCTACAGTTTTAGGGTAGTATCCATTTCAGGATATGTCTCTGCTGTCTGTGGTAAACAAAGGAGGCAGACTGAACCCAGATCTGTGCTGTGGGATCCCAGCAAGCCGGCAGGATTAGAGTGGGTTGCTGATTCTGGTGCATTTAACTCCACAGAAAGCCAGGCTGACATGGCCTTTGGTTGTGGTCTTGGGACCTGAGTTGTTCAACCTGTAACACTCTGGATATCTCTCGCCAACTTGACCTCAGCTCTCTGACTCTAAATGTCTTCTGTGGTCCTTTACCCAGTCACTGGGATTTCAGCAATGGGAGCCTTGAGATGAACTCAACCCGTGGGTCCTGTGAGTCTCCGGTTCAGGTGGCCTCATCAAAATGGCATCTGGCCAAGTACCCTCTCCAGGGAGCAAGGCAGTTGCTTGGAGTGGAGCACTCACCTGCTGTTGTAGTACACAGAAACCATTGTTCCATTCCACTGATCTGTTTCTCCCTGGAGGCCTCGGAGTCATCTGCTGTCACTTTGTCCCTATAGATTCAATCATTTTCTCTCACACTAGGAGCCGGGAGGCAAGGAGAAAGCAGTTTTTCACCTCCTTTTTCCACATTGTGGTCTCTTCACTTTGCCTGTGGCTCTAGTTTTCCCTTAAGATCTTTTCTGGATCCCACCTTCCTCCTTTTTTTCTTCCCCAAGTTATTTTACAGTCGAGAGCTATCCTCTTAAATGTTCTAATATATAATAGATCTATTATTGTTGACTATAGGTACAGAAAAATTTCAGATGGCAGTTTTTCTACTTGTTTGTTTGTTTGTTTCTGGTACTGGAGATTTTATATTAGGTCATGTTTGAATCCATTCAAAAGACTGGTTTAAATTACATGTTTAAAGTACATTTATTAGGGGCTGGGGATTTAGCTCAGCAGCATAAGCGCCTGCCTTACAAGCAGGCAGTCCTGAGTTCGATCCCTGGTACCCATAAAAACGAAAAAGACAAAATAAATAAATAAATAAATAAAGTACATTTATTTTGGTTACAGTTAAAATACTATCTCCTCCTATTTAAATACTAGTTTAAATTTTGTGAAATATATAGATTTTAAAAAGCTTGGCACGAGAAATTGGTAGCACTCCATATTTTCAGGCAGCGTGAAGAAGCAATGAGATTGAGGGGCTGCTTGCCGAATTGTCATCCCTTCCCATACCTGTGCTGTGCCCCTGAAAGACTCTTCTCTGCAGAGAAATGCGCTGCCTGTGAGGCTGAGATTCAGCAGGGACGCTGTCTGTGACTAGTTAGCACTCCTCACCCTTGACTGTCGCCAGGGTGTTAGCCTCAGGAGCCATGGCAGCTTGCTGCACTGGCAGCTATGTTTACGAAGTTATTTCTTGTATTAAGTCACTTTTCTCAGAGTTGGTACAAAATGCCTGCCACTCACAGCTTGGTGAAGGAGAGCTGTATTTGGGCTGATGGTTTCAGTCAGTGGTCAACTGACTTCAAGGCAAGAACATCATGGTGAAAAGGTGTGGGGGAGCAAAGTGAGTCACTTCATGATGACCAGAAAAGCGGAGCACAGAACAGAGAGGACCAGATACCATCCCCCACCCCAGCACCTCAGCCTTCTGAATACTGGGAGTAGACATGTGCCACCACACCAAGATAAGATACATCTTTATTATGCAGTTGGGCAAGAGACTTTCGTTGCCTGCCACTACCATTCCTACCTAGGCTGGCCTCCTCTTTGCCAGTTTTGTTTTGTTACCTTTTCAGTGGGATGTACTTCCTCATCTTTGTTACGATCAAGGAGCCTGAGTCTTGGTAGCAGCCTACTAATGAGCAGAGTGACTTTCCTCTCAGTTAGCCAAGAGCTTCAAATACCTCAACAGCTGGCTACTCAGTTTAAAAATTTTTGATTACCAAATAGCCACCATCTCAAAATAGACACTAAGATGCCTTTATTTGTTCACCTTAAATTAAGTTGTTTTCACAAAGGCCAGAACCTTCTCGGCTATGCTGCTTACATTTGTTTTGCAAAATTCTGTCTCCTTCCACCTATTCTTGACTTTCATTTATTGGAGAATATTGATGTTCTCAGATTGTACCTCTTTATCTCTGTCTCTCTTTGCTCCAGCTTGAAGCTCTAAATAAAAGGACAGAGGCCCTGATGTGATCCAGAACAAAAATTTGCCTCTTTTTAATAAAGTCCTCTTTTATAATGCAGAAAAAATAAAATAAAAAATTTCAAAGACGGTCTTAGTGTTTCTGATTAGAACAGCTGACCCACCTTTTTCTGACTTTGGAAAATTGCTTTAAACAAATTGTCTGCATTAACTCTTCACTAAGTGTCAACAGGCAAGTCCAGGGAGTCTCATATAGTCCGACATCTGAAGAAAGACTGAAGTATAGACAGCCTTTGCACACATACCGTACAAGACAGGAGCTATTTGATTGTATTAATGAGCTGCTCTATTTGTGTCCCTGCCAGGTAATGATGACTCGGAAATAGACATCCAGGAGGATGATGAATCTGATAGTGAATTGGAGGAGAGACAGCTCTCCAAGCCTCGGACAGCCATCGAAGTGCTCATGCAAGGTAGTGCAGCTTCTTTCACTCTCCCTATCCAGTGCCTGTTTCTCAGAATCTTGAGGCCATGGGCTGTGTGGTATCTAGGTCCACAGAAGATTGTCAGTGGCCCTTGGGAACACTTCCTACCTCAGGTTTATCCTGCTCTGTTGGTCATTGCTGCCTCTCATACTCTTCCCTAAGATCTTGAGAGTACCCAGTTTGTATCTGTGGCCTGGCATTTCTTACAGAGGCCACAGGAACACAGTGCCTCTGCCATTTAGCTGTTCTAAATGGCCTGTCTAAATTGTTCTTCCTGCATTTACATGTCTTAGGGCCTAGGAATTAATGCATGGAGAAGGGATCACATGAGCATCTCAGCCTTTAAAAGTGGCCTTTTGATTACTACCTTCTCATTGCAAAAGATCCAAGCAACAAAATTTGTGACACAAATGTGGATGCACCCCTGGGGTTGTCCTTGTGTCCCACTCTAGAGGGGTCATGGCTAGTAGCCAGGAACTATACCCTTACAGACTGCCTTTCCATCATGCATGGCTACACATATGTGTATAGACACACACAAGCAGATATAGGTATGGTATGACTGGAAAATAGTGAATGTTTTTTTAAAGATATATTACAGTAAAAAACACATTACCATTAATGTCCCTCAAAATACTTCCTCTTGCTTTAAGCACACTTATCCCATTGTTTTTGCCACTTCCTGAAGCAATTGAAAAAGTTCTCTTTCCTAAATGTCTTTAGTTATGCTCTTGTGACTGCCTCAGTATCTTAAAGTGATTAAAAACATTTACATTTGCCAATGACTTTTATTTTGGGAAGGAGTGGAAAGCTACACAGTGTCATATCCGGTGAATAAGATGGATGAGGACACATTGTACTGTTTTTATGAGCCTGCTTTTCTGTTGGGTGGCCCTTGACAGCAGCATTCACTGTACTGTTATGACACTTCATGGTACTCAGAAAGGAAGACTTCCAGAACTGCTTCAGAACGTGGCAAGAATGATGGAAAAAGAATGCTGGAAGCAAGGAGAGTTTTCTGAGGGGCATTAATAGCAGTGTCTCTTACTAGTATACATTTTTAAATTTTAAACATTCATCAGATACTTTGAAGACATGATTTACAGCTTGCTTTTGTTTTTAAAATTAAATCTTTGTGTAACTTTGCCCATGTCAGTAAATATAGATTTTTTTTTCTTTTTTTTCTTTCCCTCCCTCCTTTCTTTTCTTTTTGCTTTCTTGCTCTCTCTCTCTCTCTCTCTCTCTCTCTCTCTCTCTCTCTGTCTCTGTCTTCCATCCTCCTTTCCTCTCTTTCTGTCTTTGTCCCTGTCTCTCTCTCTGTCTCTGGCTGTCTGTCTGTTTCTCTCTCTCTCTCTCTTTCAAGACAGGGTCTTGCTGTGTATTACAGGCTGACCTTGGACTTAATTTGTAGTCCAGGCTAGCGTCAAACTCACAGTTCTCCACCTCACCCTCCCAAGTTCTGGGATTAGAAGCATGCACCATCACCTAAAAAGTACAGTAATAACTCAGTTCATGAATAGTTCTGCATGCAAACAATTTGGTTCACAAACAAAAGCATTCAGTAGAATTTTGCTTCCATTCATAAACTCTACATTGGGTGACAAACACAACCACAGACGTCTTTCCTACACAAACATGAACTCAGCCGTCTCTCCTAGAATTGTACAACAAATTAAGTTCATAAACCAAGGTAGCACTGTACCATAATTAGTAATTACCTTATCTTTCAAACCACCATTATTATCTAAGGGATCCACTATTTTATATGGGTTTTGTTTTGTTTGGCATTGGGAATCAAACTCAGAACCCCATGTTTGCTAGGCAGGCATTGTGCTGCTGAGTTATACCCCCATCTCTGCGATCCACTATTTTAAAAAACTTTTTCATTTTGACGCTTAGAACTACATTCAAGTATTATTAGTTCATAACAGGAGGAAATGTTTCATTTTCAGCAGCATATTATTTCTATGACACACACATTAAAAATGAAGTTCACTAACTTTCCCCTAAACACTGATGGGGTGCAATTTTTCAAATTCATGATTCATGATTGGTGTGTGTTTGTGCATGCATGTGTGTTTGTGTTTTACAGTGAATGTTATTTGATCAAACCCAGGGCCTTGAACACTCTAGGGAGCTCTCTACCACTTAGCTGTACCCTCAGACCTCATGTTGATATTTTATTGCCCTTTTTCCTTCTTTCAGAATAGAAGTACAGGAAATCCATTAATGTTTGTTGTCAGTTCTATTTGATTGAACACTACTAAAGTTAAATTTTAAATGTGATTCTTTTCCCAGTTTTCTAAGGGAAAGCAAATTGTGAATGCCATTTGCTGTCTTATTTGCTAAAGTTTTCATGAGTGCTTTATGTTTTGTTCTCAGGAAGACCTGGCAAGCACATTGTCGGCACTATGCAAGGTGGAGACTCCGATGATGATGTAAGTCCTAGGGGCCCCTCTGCAGTTCTGTGCCTTGGGTGTTGGGCTATCCCCATCAGCTAGATTAGCTGACCCCAGCCCAGCATAGCACATGATTTATGTCATTTTGGCCTCCTAAGGGCCTTCACTTTTCTATTTGTTTGTTGGTAGCTTATTTCCCATTTCATACAAATGTGCTTGCCCTGTTCTCTCCTGCCTTCTCACTGTTCTTTCCATTCTCGCTTTCCAAAGATGGAAGCAGCTCCACCTCTCTTAGGTAAATGCAAGACTCTCAACTCCAGGAAGCAGGTTGGTTTTCTCTTTTGCCTCATCTATTTGTTGATGTGTGTCAACCCACGTCAGTTCTGAAGAACCTTTTCAGGCATGATGCTTTCTCTCAGCTGGGCAAGACACCTCTCAGAGTGATTCCCACAGAGAGAGCCCACATTGGTTCTGTGCTGAGGAAGAGGGGTAGGCCTCAAGGCTGGAGGCAATATCAGTTGTAGTTAGGTATCTAAGACCCTTAATTGAATCCAACGGATGGGGCTGGGGCCAAGACTGTCCCTGTCTTGATTGAGTTCCATTCTCTTCAGACCAGGGTTTAGGGTAGGAGGCTAGATGTTAGGCCACCCACACTTTAAACTTTACTGACTAAGGAATTTAATCAGGTCAAAACCTGGGGACGGTTTTGATGTCTTTGAGGTATCAAGTCATCTGAGAAGCCCACCCTTCTCTCCAAGTCTTCATCCTGTTGCAGACCTTGGCTCTATCCATACAGCCAAGGTGACTGAAATGCTACAAATCTCAGACCAGCTCTGTACAGGATCTCCCTTTGCCTGGGGTACAGCACTGGTGACTGATCAGGGACAGAAACATTGCCTTATACTCTTGCATCAAGATTGCCTCAGTACCCATAGGTTGAATGGTTACAGACAGTAACAGAAGTCTACTATTACCCAGGTGTGGTGGACAGGATGTACGGATTTGACCTGGCCTTGAATGCATAGGAGATACTCTGTAGAAATGTGGGAAAACCACCTTGACAATAACTTTTTAATAGGTTGTGGGTGGTGTGATAATTTTATCCTTTCATCTCTCTCTGACTCTAAAGTGAGTCCAATGTGAGAGCCAGCAGTACCAGAGGCAGCATTCAGCCTCTGTTGGATTTGCACATGCACTTTTCAGGATGTATTGGTTGTAGCACAGGTCTTCCTTTGCTGCTTATTTATTTCAAAGGACTTCATTCACACAGCTCTTCCTACCCTGACCCAGACACAGAGGTTGATCTTTCACATGTGACTTAGCCACCCAACCTTTCTCTATTGTGTGCAGTCTGTGTGCCGTGTGCTGTGATGGATGATGAAAAACCCATTCCAAAAGGAACAGAGCAGATGTACCACAGTCGTAGGCATTAGAAAGTAAACAAGCTTATGAGATGGGTGTGATGGCAGTGGGAGGAAGGAATGGCCCTGCGTGGTCAGGAAAGGCCTCTTTAATGTGAGGTTGAAACAGAGGCCTGTGGAAGGAGGCAGTGACCAAATGTGGGTGAGGCGAGCACCTGGGGAACAGAGCCCCCTGAGCTAAGGACAGCAGTGTGTGTGATGGAGATGGAAGGCACTGGGGTGAAAAGGGTGAGGTGGTGAGAACACGTGGAGCTTTGCCATGTGTGCTGAGGACCTTGCAGTTTCTCCAAGTGGAACCAGGAGATGCTGGAGGATTGTGAACCCAGGAAGGGCGAGAACTGAGCATGCAGAGGAGAGTATGATCATGCAGGTCAGTGGTGACATGTCCCAGCCTCAGGTGGGAAAGGAGGGGCCAAGGAGTGGTCTGATTCTGACACACTTCCGAGATGAGAGCCAGCGGGTTTTTCTAAGTGACACTGGATGTGGAACACAGTGGGTGTTGAGAGGAATGAAGGGCTGTGATCTCATCCACTGAAACTCAGATCTTCACTACCTGAAATGGGCCACTTTGAGGAGGGGGCTGGAAGCCAGATCAGGAGTTTGAACTGGATGTGACAGTGCTTGTCTGTAATCCCAGGATTTTAGGAAGCTGATGCAGGAGGATGGCAAGTTTGAGTCCACTTTGGACAGATTCATGACTTAGTGAGACCTTCTCTCAAAATAAAAAAAGATCTGGAGATGTAATTCAGTGCAAAGGCCCCTGGATTCAATCCTCAGCTTGTTGGGGTTTTTTTTTTTTTTTTTTTCTTTTTTCTTTATTTCTTTTTCTTTTTCTGATACTGAGGATCAAACTCATAACCTCATGCTTGCCAGGCAGGCAGTTATATCACAAGCTAAATCCCCAGCACCTCCGGTTCTATTTTTTAAAAATTGGTTTTGAACATTCTAGGGCAAGTTGCCTGTTAGAATTCACTTAGGAGGGTTGAATAGTCAGTTGAAATTCGAGTGTGGAATTCAAGGGATAGGTCTGGGCTGGAGGTAGAATTTAGTAGCCACCCATATTCAGATGGCATTGAAGGTAGGAGGGGAGATGTGATGGCTTAGGGAGAGGACAGGAAGAAAGACAGTAGGCTGAAGCAACTGTGCATGGCAGAGCTGAGAGAGATGAGCATCAGTGAAGGGAGAACCAGGCAGGTGGCACAGAGAGTTAAAGGAGAGGGTACCCCAGAGGATGGTGAGGTAGAGTTCATGGGAACCAGTGCTGCATGGAGCAAGGTGAGGACTGTGGATTCTGTGTAGTGAAGTCCATAAGAGCCATGTAGTGGGGTTATGGACTGAGATCCTGATCAACATGTGTTTAAGAGGCCCCAGAGGGAAACGAGTAGGGACAGTGAGCTCAACAGCTTGCCCAGGGAGTCTGCTATAAGGGGAGCAGAGTGGAGAGAAGAGTAGCATAATATTTGTTTTTGTTTGCTTGTTTGTTTTGTTGTTTGTTTTTAAGAAGCTATGCCTAGTGACAGTTGTCTAGATTGGATGAGCAAACATCCAGGTGCACATGGAGCACAGGAATTGCAGTTTCAAAGCCAGGCTGAGCCGGTCTTTCTGGCTGGTATACCTTTCACTGGGCTTCTTGCATCCATTGCCTATTTGCTCTCTGTCACCGTCTGGAAGGAGTCAAAATTGGCCTCTCTTTCCTTTGTGCTTGCTTTCCACTGAGTCTTGGGGCCTCTGGAAGCCAACGGCCTCTAGGACTCTCTGTGCACATGCAGGGGGCACGAAGACACCCATGTTTAGCCAACTCCTGCAGTGCTGAGCTCTGGCACATGTTAGTATCTTACGGGTGTGTTACCTGATAAGTCATGTGGATATGTTCCAGTATACTCTGTTCACATAGCCTGAGTGCTAGTCTTGTTAGCCTGGCCCCATGACGGGTGGCTAGTTATGCTGTTCACTGTTGAACTACAGTGAAAAGCAAGGCAGAGTCTCTTACGATGAGTGGATTGGGAACCTCTGCTGCATTTGTTGTCTTTTTTCCTGTAGGAAAACTCAGAGGACAGTGAAATTGACCTGGAAGATGATGAAGATGATGATGATGATTTGGAAGATGAGAGCCTTGCTCTCTCACCAGCTAAGCCCAATAGAAGGGTCCAGAAACCTGAGCCTCTGGATGAAAGTGACAATGACTTCTGACTTCTTACCAAGGGACCAGGCAGATTAAAAACCCCAGATGTGTAGGTAAACAGGAAATTAGAAGGCTTGGAAGGTGGATGTGTTACTTTGTTCCGTAAGCCAGCTGGACTGATTGTTTCTGAAGCAGTGCTGCTTTCTGTTTCATTCTCCTGTGTTTATACCATATTCCATGAACCTTAAATAAGAACCAAAGCAAGACCCAAAGATGATTTTCTTTTTCTTTTCTTTCAAAACATCACTAAAATTATATTTCACTCTAACAAGGTAGTGATGACAACTTGGTTGTTTGGGTGAATTTAAAATAGCTGGCATTTGGGAAGTTTGAGTATGTAAAACTCAGCAATAATTTTTTTACTTGCAAACATCATTTAAAAGTTACACATGTCAAGAAATAATTTAAAAATAGTATGTAAATTTTCGTCATGTGTATGATACAAAATTTTTTTCTCTCACCAAAGTTTTTGTGTCAGACACCTTATGGGAAATAAAGTGTTATCTTTAAAGTCTAACACATAAAATGTTAGCTTTTCAGATTATATCTTCTCAAACTCTCTATATACTCTTGTGATGCTTCTGAAATTTGAGCTTTATTAACAGATGCTCTGGAAGAAACTTTAAAGGCTTTAGATTCATGTCAGTAGCAGCTCATCTAAGTTATCTAGTTATATGATTTTGCAGTTCTTGGCTCGTCTTGGTGAGGTAGTCCTCCATGGTGTTGTTTGAAGGCTGTGGGTTCACTGTACAAACCCCTAAGTTTTTTCTGGGAGGAAAGCTTCTGTGGCGCGCCAAACTATCATTAAGATTGCTGACACAGGGATACACTAGGGCAGGTCTTGTACTAACAGTGTTCAGCAAAGTTCTCGCCCTGCTGGGCCGGGGGTTTAGCTCAGTAGCATAAGTGCCTGCCTGGCAAGTGCGAGGTCATGCCTTGCAAGCATGTGAACATAAGTTTGATCCCTGCTATCAATTAAAAAAAAAAAAAGATATGCCTTCCTGTTTCTCCACTAGAAATTTGGTATTGGCCTCTTCTAAGAAGTCTCTCACTGACCTTGTTTAGCTTATTGGATGATAGTTTCTAGTTTTGAATTCTTCTGCATAGAGTTGCTTATATTTTCCCAGTTGTGTTTGATTGGAATCTTCTTGAGTTTTCATTTTAGAGAGCTCAGATTCCAGGTCGTCATTTCCGAGTTCCATCTGATTTCTCACTGAAGCATCATAATTCTCTCTTAACTACTCTAAATATTCTTGATGCTGCTTGTGTCTTGTGTATTATCATGTTAGTTGGAAATTCGTTTCATGGATTTTAAATCTCCATGGAAATTTTCCCGCTTTTTTCTGTTTTGTTTTGTCTTTTAGAGACAGGGCTCATTATGCAGTTCAGACTGGCCTTGGGCTCACTTGGTAGCCGAGGCCGATCTCAAACTTGCAAATGATTCTCCTGCCCGTGCCTTCCAAATGCTGGGATTACAGGAGTACACTACCACACCTGGCTATTTTCTGCTCATTTTTAACTTTGTTTCTGTCATTTTTAAAAAAGTCTTTTAAATCTAATTAGCTCTTTTTTTTAATTCAGCATTTTTCTTCTTTTCTTGATCCAAAGAATATTCTCAAGATTGTTTTAACTTAGTTTCCTTGTCTTTTCCTTATCATCTTCAGACAAATTTTCACTTAACAGATTTTCTTGAAGATGTTCAGTTTTCCCTACTTCCTTTCGTAGTTTAACTTTTAACCTGGCATTCTCAAGTTAAAGCTTTTGTAGGTATTCTTGCATCTTCTCAGCATATCACACAGCTTCTCTGTGTTGATCCTGTCCTTCCAGTTGACTTCTGATTTGATTTAATTTCTTCTTTAAATCCTGTGTTTCATCTTCTAAACCTTCTAAATGTGATAATGTGATGAAACTTCCAGTGAAGCCTCTGAGATAGATTGATTTCTTGTGGGTTACCGATATGCCTACATTTCCTATATCCTCTAGTTTAGCCATCTTAAAATTTTCTTGATCCACTTGTGCAAGAAGGTATGCCCCTGATAAATGATCAACAGACTTTTTGGCTCAGATGATGCTGTTGAAAAGTAAGATTGGGAAAAGTCCTGGACATTGACTGATTGTTTTAGGAAGGTTTCTACCATGTCTTTGTTTTTACTGTCAATCAAGATTCTATTTCCTGGTTCCCCAATGCCTCCTTGATTTTTCTTGGATTGCGAAGCAGCAATCCATAGCTCAGTTAGGTTTACTTTTGGGACATTCTTGTTATTAAGAAATACAGTCATCAGAGCCAGGGGCATAGCTCAGTGGCACCAGTGCCTGCCTGACAATCACAAAGTCCTGAGTTTGAATTCTGGTACCAACTTCCCTTCCCCCCAAATAAAAACTTAGTCATCATCTGATGTGGGCCAGGAATCATCAGGACCAGATCTATTGGGAAATCCATAGGAAGAAAACATACTACAAAAGTAGGTGAGTTCCATCCTTAAAAATTGGTGAAAGAGGAGGCCCGGGATTTAGCTCAGTGGCATAAGCGCCTGCCTGGCAAGCCCAAGGTTGTGAGTTCGATCACCGTACCAAAAAGAAGAAGAAGAAGAAGAAAAGCTGGTGAAAGATCAGCTATCTGCATATTGATTGATGTTTCTTGTTTGTTACAATTTTTTTTTTTTTTTTTTGCCTTTTTCATTTTTATCAGTACCGGGGATTATTTGTTACAATTAAAATTTGACTTCCATTTTTAAAATATCTTACTTTTTTCTGTCTCTTCTTCCAATCTATGAAATAGAGTAGTGAAGACTCACTTTCACTCCCATGTCAGAGAGTAACCTGTAGAGCCTGTGAATACTCACAGGCTTTACTCACAGCCTTTACCAGTTGGCTGTCCTGAATACTGAAATGAAAATCTAATCAAGTTAATTTTCTTATTCTCTTTGCAACTGCTCCATCCCTACTTGCTCTCCTCTTGCACAAAGTGATTTTCTTTTCCCCTGTTTGCTCCTCAGAACTTTGGAAATGCATGTTTTTAATAGTTGAGATCTATAGGACAAAAACTCAAGAAACAAGGTTGTCAGCATGTAAGTCTTTCCTGCTGCTGCTACACATTTATCTATGAGCCAGGCAGACCTGGGGCTGGAACATGGCACATCTGGCTGTTAATCAGTTTTCCAATTCAGAACATTTATCATACGTTAACTTTTAATTATACCCCTTTTTTTTTTTTTTTTATAGTACTGGGGATCAAACTCACAACTTCGTGCTTGCCAGGCAGACACTTATGCCACTGAGCTAAATTCCTTGGTCCTAGTAATACCCTTTTTTATAGTCCTGTTTTCTTCTGCATGCTCATAATACCAAGTGTTAGATATATTTTAATAACTAAAATGTTCTGAAAGATAGCTAAGTTAGATAAAAATCAACTTTCCTTGGAAATCAGGTAACACAGAGAGGATCCAGGTCATGAACATACCATTTTCTCTCACGAGGCTGATGCTCCTTTGGGGGAGTCAGATCACCTTGGAGTAAAGGCACCTGTGTGTTTCCTTGATACGCTGGGCCCTCCCTTAAGAGATTCCTGCCCAGTGACAGCTAGGATGTCCTTCCTAAGTCCTTTGTCCACACATATGGGTGAATGCAGGTTTCCTTCATCTTGTTGCCCTCTTAGAAGAGACTAGCAAGGAGAAAAACACCAGTACAGATTCATGTTTCTGACTTAAGAAAATAATCCAGAACCAAATTAGGTGCAAGCCATGTGGTGCCCAAGAGGAAGAACAAACCAATTCACCCTTCCCACGAGGCAGCAGAAGCCAGAAGCCACGCTGGGCCTGGGAGGAGTTGCAAGAAGCCAATTCTTCCTTCCCGTGATTTGGAGGATAGGCTAAGTTGATAGGAACTGAGGTACAGAAACAACATTTATGTTGTTTGATTGACTTTGCAGGCCGAAGGCTGGTAGTGTGAGCATCTATTAAGAGGATAACAATATGCAGTATAGCAAATATGGGGGATTTCCTTCTCACTTGTTTTTGAAATTCAACATTGTTTCACTGTTTTGTTTTCTTCCAATTTTATTGTTTTGTTTTATTCAGTGTTCTGTTTTGATTGGTTTTATTCTGTTTTGTTTCATTTTATTATATCTGATGGTATGGGCAGCAATTGTGAAGATAACAAGAGGCATTATGATATTATTCCATTATCCTGTTTCAAAGTTCTGTATCACTTTCACTTGTTTTTGTTTTGAGTGTCTTTATTCTATTATATTTTGTTTGGTTTTATTCTCTTTAAAAAAAATTAGATACAGCAGCATAAGAAGTATTTCCTTATCGTGAAATGAAATGACATTGGCTTTACAATGTGTGGGGGATGAGGAGTCACTTTAAAGGCCCTAGGCCTCCTCGGGACCTACAGTAAACAATAGCCCCCGGTATGCGAGACAGAGGCAGGACAGGAATGCCTGTTCTTCTCACCCTCTGAAACCATGCTGTGTGACTTGGCTTTGTTTACAGAGTCATGAGGAAGTGGCCACCTTTGTGACACTAGCAACAAACATAATTAACAACATTCTTGGGCTATGAATTTCCTCCTGGGCTAAAGGGGCTAGAAGAATTGATGTTGATTAACTTAGATAAACATTGTAGTCTGTCACATTGTAGCTTGTCACAAGAAATGCTTTTTCACTAGTTAATTGTCTGTGCTCTGTAAATTGGTCCGGTTTACTATATAAGAATCCTAGAATAAAGACTGTGCGTGCAGTGCAATGCGGTAAAGTTGCAATTGCCGTGTTTCTCTTTCCTTTCTTCGCGCTGCACCCCCGTGTCCCGGCTCGGTGTGTGTGTGCCTCTTCCTGGGGTCCAGAGTGCACTAGACACTCCCGACAACAATGGACTTGACATTACAATGAAAACATGAAACAGTTTTTCATTTATTTTACAATTACAAAGTCAGAAGATTTCTGAAGTTCTGTGTCTTTTAATAAATGTATTTACCTGGCCCTGAATCAAGGCTGGCAGCTTCCTGACGCTGTTGGTTTCAAGCAAGAGCCTAAAGAGATGTCTTTCTATGGTCTATTGGCCATTTCAGAACTTGGGCAGTGAAATGGTCAATGCATTAGAAAGAAACAGCTTGAAGCATCCCCGCGCCCCCCTGGTGAGCGGCTGTAAGTGTGTCAGGCTGCAGCAGCCCAGGACGCAAACCACTAGCGTTTACTGGGACTACACCATGCCGGGACCTGGAGCACCAAGCAACCCCTCCCTCCTGTGAGTAGCTGTGAGCATGGCAGGCTCTGACCACCCAGGAAGGGAGCCACCAGCATTTACTGGGACCTGCACCATGCTGGGATCTGGAGCACCGGGAAACCCAGCAACCCCTCCCTCCCTGCCTGTTTTGTTTTGTTGAACTTCAGTATACATGAAAGTATGGACAGCTATTTTGAAGAGAATGAGAGACTCTATGACAGCCATTAGTGACTTCTCTATAGTTTGGTTTTGAAGACCTAAATTGCCTTCCTCATTCTGTTCGGATCATTTTTATACTATATTGTTTTGTATGAATTCTCTATATGTGAAGACATGAGCAACTATTTGGAAGAAAACAAGAGACAATATGATAGTTGGGAAGATCTCATGTCACCTAGCTTTGAAATTTATATCTCTTACATTGGTTTATGTCCTATTTTGTTCTGTTTTATTGTGTTTAATTTTACCCCCTTTAAAATTAAAAAAATAAAATGTATTTAATACCATATTTTTATTTTTAATTGAAAATATTTGTGTCTGTAACATAAATACTTATTCAAGAAAAACTGACAGGTTAATATGATGCATGTAAATTTAGGAGGCTATCTGACAAGTATTTCTGTCATCTTTGCCTTTTTTTCTCTTTTTCCTAAATTTATGTCCAAGATTATCTTTTTTTTTTTTTTGAACACAGTCTTTCACAGTAAAAGGAGGAAAGGTTTATTTTAACTCATAGTTTGTAGAGGTTTCAGTCCATGGTGAGCTGGCTCCAAGGCAGGGTGGTGGCAGCAGCAAGCCTGCCTTCTGTCTGACCCTGTATAGTTCACAGGCTATAAGCCTGTTATGGTGCCATCCATACCCAGGGTGGGGCTTCCATTATCCATGCCCTTAATCCAGTATCACATCCTTAATCCACAGTCACGCACTCTAATCCAGCCTTTGAAACTCTCCACCCATGACCACATGAGTCTTTGGTGGGGGACATCTAGACAGAAACCATAACATGTAACTGTTTGGGTTTTTTGTTTTGTTTTGTCTTGTTTTGCTTTGCTTTGCTTTTTTGAGATAGAGTCTCACTATATAGTTTAGGCTGACCTTGTCTTGAACTCATGGTGAGTTCTCTCCATCAGCATCCCAAGTGCTTGGATTTCAGGCGTGCACCTCCACACCAGGCACTTTTATTTTGTTTTAATGGGCTTTAATGTGGAAATTAATTTGAATCATGTGTAATATATCCACAAATACAAGCAGCAGCTGCAAAGGTCACTTTACCCACTTCCAGCTCATTTTTCATCTGTTGGCTCACTGGCTTTATGCAAAGTCTCAACCATGATGTAGTGTTTCCTGCTTGAGCAGTTTCTCTAATGAAGATCTTCACTACTTGATCATTATTACTAATGTGTCTCAATCACATCACAACAGATTCAGGAATCCCATATGTACAAGTGTCTTTTTTTTTTTTTTTTCTTTTGATGCTGGGGATCGAACTCATAACCTCATGCTTGCCAGGCAGGCACTTATGCTGCTGAGCTAAATCCTTGGCCCTTGTACAAGTGTTTTGTAGCCTGGTGCTGTGAGCAGACCTCAGGCCCTAAAGATCATGTGATTAGATCAAGGGACAAACTATCATCTAGTTTATTCTGAAATTTTTTTGCTATCTAATTAAAGAACCTCTTACATGTCTTTAAAAAGTGCATAGTGAGAGAAAATATAAATTTTTAAATGCTTAATATTTTATTAGTGATGGCAATCAAGAGCAAAGTCCAAGGACTTCCAATGGAAAAAATGAACTTTTCCTGGAAGAAAAAGGACCATAGTATCTCTTTCATTAGCATATTAATCTAATAGCACTGTTGAATGTCCGAAAGAAAATTGTGCCCATTTACACATTAGCACTCTAGGTATGCATCACATCTGTTAGATGAAGCTAGGGGACCCTAGTGCTAGAATACAGGACTCGAATTGGAAGGGAGCTAAAAGTTCTCCCACCTCCTAGAATAGTAGTCCTTTCTCTGGAGAAATGAATTGAATTATCTTTTGTGTGTGTGTGTCTGGTGTGTGTACTGTGATGTGTGTGTACAGTGATATGACCATAATGGCTGACTAAGCCCCTGTTTCAGATAGCTTTAAGGTGTGTGTGGTCATATTTGAAAGGGTGTTAAGGAGGCCTGGGTACAAAATATAATTGGGGCAGGGTTCCTGATCATGAGTCAGTGGAGTCAGTTTGTAGTTGAGAAATGTCACATTTATATAATTCAGAGGAAATATTTGTTTCCAAAGATGTAAAGGCATAATCCAGAGGAAAGCAATTACAAAGTACCTATTTGAGAAACACTGGCGTCTGTTTAGCCTTAGCCATGGGATCATTTTGCTGTGGATATGCTTCTTGGTACTTGCCAGACATTTATTGAGCACTTACTGTTGTGCTAACTACTAGAGAATTCAAAAATAATCTTAGCATCTGCCCTTGTTGTTAAGCCAACAATGCAGAAAAAAATTATAGTGTGATACATGCATGCCGAGAGTATTGTAAGGTGTCATAGGAATTCAGAGTAAGGAGCAGCTGTCCTTGCCTGGAATACCTGACAGAGGTGCCTGAAAGCCACATTTGAACTGGGGTTAAAAGGTTTAGTAAGAGTCTTATCAAATGTAGAAGATGAGATGTGGCATCACACTGGGCTAAATGCACAGAGCTCTGAAAAGCCATAGCCTATTTAGAGAGTGACAGTTAAGACAGTAAGGTCAAAGTGTTAAGTACATGGTGAAGGAATGTCTTCGTCATGCAGAGGGAATTACCTTATAGGCAGAAGCAACCTGCAGAGACCAGAAGGTCTCTTCAGAAATATCACTCAAAAAAACAGGAAGATAAAACAGCAGGCTTTTTTGGTGTTAAAAGAGGAGCTCATGGTGATGGGCCTTGTTATAATTCGTGTCTAGATGTCGCCCAGAGACTCATGCAGTCAGGGGGCGGGCTTCTAGAGTTTGTGATTGATTCTTGGTCCGATGCTGGGATCATGGGTGTGAGTGCTACTCCTGCCCTGGGGTGGGTAACATACACAATATAAGAGAGGGAAAGAGGCTTGCTTTTTTGCTTCTCCCATTTTGTTCTTGCTGCTCTGGCTGTTTTCCGCTGTCATGTGCCATGCTGCCTTGGAGCCAGCCAAGTATGCAGCCAAGTATCTGCAAACTGTAAGCTAAATAAACTTTTCCCTATTTAATTTTGGGCATTGGGTGTTTTGTCTCAGCAATGAGAGAAAAGTAACCAACACAGGCCTAGAGAACTAGATTTTCATGTCAGAAGAGATGTTAAAGAAGAGGAGTTGAAGGTGAAGAGGAGCTATGGTTGGGTATGAGAGACACAGGAAGAAGAGCAGGCAGGGAGAGGTGGCAAGTGTGAGGGTTGGGGAATGTTGAGGTGTCAGACATCTAGGTGGAGTACCCCGTAATCACATGGGAATGCAAACAGGGTAGACCTTACATTGAGCCTCGTAGACAGAATTCATGTTTATCCCCTGTACTTCCACTGATTTTTTATGAGCAAAGAAGCATTTCAAAGAAGGTAAACCTAACAGGGTAACAGGAACCAGAGTGGAGAGTAAAGTGGCAGCAATAGTTTTGGAATCTGGAACACAACTGAAAGTGTTAGCACTGAGAAAGCTGAGACTATAGGTGACCTCAAACATGTGAAGTCTGAGATGACAAATATGCCTGATGCAATTGACAGCAGATGACATGCTGCAGAAGAATATTAACCTCAAAGACGCAATAATAAAAACTGTCCAAAATGTGAAATGGCAAAAAAGACACAAAATAAGACCCACTGTTGCAGTTATCAACTTATTCCTCAACTCCACATTCATCTTCTCAGCTAGCTTTGAACTAGTGGAGCTAGACCTTACAAGAATTTCTCCTTTGGCAGCCAGCAAGCTGTGAACCCCTGTCAGTGGGAGCTGAGAGATCTCTACAGAGGAAGGGCCCTTCCTGCTATTTCTAATGGTGCTCGCCCTTTTTCTCTACGGCTTTGGCCCCCACAATTTCTCTAGTGCTGGGTTTCTACAGGGTGTGGCTTTCTCCATTTGCCTATTGCAATTCTGTTCCACTGAGCTTTGAACTCCAGGGGAAATAACACAAAGGGCAGAGGAACAACATGGAACAGAAAAAACTGTCAACCTACAATTCTCTCCCCAGCAGAAATATCTTTCAAAAACAGTAATGAATCCCATAAACATGTGCTCACATATTTTCAGTTTCCAACTAATGTTCTTTACATTGGATTTTCTTCCTTCCAGTCTAGTATCCAAAGATCTTGCATCAAATTTTTACGTCTCTTTCCTCTCTTTCATTTAAAGCAACCCCAATCCTTTGTGTCTACTATACCATTGCCATTTTTGAAGAGGTAAGAGCAGTTTTGCAGAATGTCCCTCCATTTGGATTTTGTGCCATTATTTCTTCCTGACGAGGCTCAAGTAAACATCTTTAGCAAAAATTGCACATCAGCAATGTGTCAAGGGCAGTGCATCAGGCACTTGATGTCATTTTGTCCTGTGACTATGATGTTAAGTTTAATCATTTTTGTTAAGGCAGATTTCAAGTTGCTAATGGCCTTCCCTTTATTAACGAACAGTGATACAGCTTTGTTGGTTTCATTGGAATATGAGCACACAGTTGTAAACCGGTACTAGCTTCCTACACTGCTTGCCTTTTAGGCCTTTGCCCAGAATCTTGGTGACATCTACTTCCCTTCTCTGTATTGGAGGAGTATGTCCAGGCACCCCTGCTGGGACTGACCCTGGGCAGGAGCAGTACCCAGAACCTCTTCTGAGAACACCTTTTCTTTCTCTAGGTATCCGCTCTCTTACTGAGTCAGCAGCATTCCTAGGTCTCAGGAAGATCCATGGAGAGCACATTTTCTGTTCAGAAGCTTCCAGCTGTCTCTCCCTGTCCTGCTCTGTCCACTGGGAACTTGCTTGTCTCACATTTCCACAGTGCACATGGGAGCATTTGTCTTGATAGCATCTGAGATCATTCTAGCCCCAGATTCCCCAATGCGGTTTCCCTGGAGACTAGAAGAGAAGGGTTAGAGTTAGGGTAGGTTCTCTTAGAGCAATCATCACTGTAATAAATGCAGGACTCCACAGGATATTTGTGCTTTCAGGATCATACTGCTGGACAAGGATCCCATGGGCTCCGCCTATTAGGAACTGAGTTTCTCTAACTTTTGGTTGCTTGAGTGTCAGCTGGCTCCCAGCACTGGACTAAAGATATGGCCTGACTCTGAGAGGGAGCAAGAATGACCAGAAAGTGGTGCGCTGAGCTACTCACTTGATGTGCTGTAGCCCGTGGTTCCCAGACAGTGCCGTGGCAACGCATATCACCCCGTCCATTCCCAAGGAGTTCTCCTGAAGACTAGGCAGAGAAGAGTTGGGACACCATGGTGAGCCATCAGGACAAAAGAAACACTTGAGGAAACATTGCATTATCTTTTGTGGGAGAAGCAGAGGCAACAAGCAGTTTTAGGTTGATTTTATCACCAGTGCCATAGCAACTGCTAAGTGATAGCATCTGACCACTAAGATGGGTATTTAAAAATAGCTAAATTGCCATAACCATGAATGAAGTTGTTTGGTTAGCTGGTTGCTTGGCTGCTTTGTTTTTGATACTGGGGATTCATCCTACGTACTGCACAGTGAAAATCTGCTTTTGAGTCAGTCTTGTCGAGTCACTAAGTTACCCAGGCTGAGCTTGAATTTGCAGTTTTTCTGCCTTAGATCCCAAATGCTGGGATTACAGGCACGCACCATACCCAATTTGAATGCAGATTTTAAATGACTAAAGCATTTTGGAAAAAAAACTGCAGTGGATATGGACTGTAACTATCGGAATAGTTTGAAACATTCATGTAAAGAAGGAACAGGAAGAGGAGATCATCAGCGTTTTATCCCACAGGATGCAAGACTTGACAGCCACTTACCTGAGTCTCCGGAGACTGGAATTCACCTTCAGAGCATTTGCCAAAGCCTTAGCTCCAGCCACCCCAATGGCGTTTCCTCGTAAGCTTCCAGGAAAAACAGGAAACATAAAGCACAGAAGTGGGCTCAGAGGTGATAGTGATGCCCTTCTAGCTAAGTCAGCTGTCACAGGAGGTAAGGGCCACTCCTTCCTCACTCCCAGGCCACAGAATAGAGTTGAGCTCCATAGGGTGGGACACACAGATGACCAGCCCAGCCTGAGTGTCCTCATCCACCTTTTCTATTCCAGAGGAAGAAGGGCTGGGTGGGGGAGGCAGCACTCTGCCCAAGAGGTAACCAGTGCACTCAGCATCCCAGGTGTCTCAAGTGCAGGGGTGATGGATATGCCTAAAAGCCTCTCAGAGCTTGACCTCACTCCAGGATTGGGTCTTCTTGCAGATCAGGATCCACAGCAATTGGCTGTCCCTAGACAAGTGTCCTAGACACTTTCAATCTGGGTAGGGCCAACCCAGAGACCAGATGAGCAATAGTGACTTGGGGGAAAGGCATGAGGTAGGAATGAGAAAGCTGGAGCACACCTGACCTGAAGTGAGGATTGTGAAACTGACCTGTCATTTTCTATGTAATATTTTCCCCCATATCTATTTCTTTTGAATCCATAGGTTGGTTTCTTTGGACAAAAGGCTGTCATTAGAGACTGGAATACTCACTCGAGAATCTCCAGGGTTCTGTTCACAGCAAGGGCCTCCCCCAGCACCTGGGCCCCCGGGGAACCAATGGAGGCCACCTGCAGGCTACAAGAGAAGTTGGGATCAATGCACGCAGGGTGGACCCACTGCCCTCCTGTCTGCCCCAGGCGCAGCCTCCCTCCCTGCTCTCCACTTTGGCTAGGGCTGGAAGAGGAAAGACAGCACTGAAGACTTGGCATCTCCTAACTACACACTAATGCCTAAGACGAGACCTGGCCCCAGGAATGAGAAGCAGAGGTATCCCTGAAGCCTGGGGATGCTCACTCTATCCCTAGTTCTTCCTGCAGAAGCTGAACTTCCCAATTACTGATATTAGAAAATCAAGGAGCAATGCAGCGGCTTTGAGATTCGGAGCTGACGCCTAGATACCTGAATTAGCTTTAACAGAAGAGAAATGGAGGAGCCATAGAACATAAGGATGAATTCAGGAAAGCCTGAAACCATGGAAAACTTGCCTGATCTCTACACTATTTTCCAAGGAGAGGTTGCTATGGTGACAGACTATGGAGCCTTTATCAAAATTCCAGGCTGTCGAAAGCAAGGTCTGGTCCATCGAACTCATATGTCATCTTGTCGAGTAGATAAGCCCTCTGAGATAGTAGATGTCAGAGACAAAGTATGGGTGAAGCTTATTGGCCGAGAGATGAAAAATGATAGGATAAAAGTATCCCTCTCCATGAAAGTTGTCAACCAAGGGACTGGGAAAGACCTTGATCCTAACAACGTTATTATTGAACAAGAAGAGAGGAGGAGGAGGTCCTTCCAGGATTACACTGGGCAGAAGATCACACTCGAGGCTGTCCTTAATACTACCTGCAAGAAGTGTGGCTGTAAAGGCCACTTCGCAAAAGATTGTTTCATGCAGCCTGGTGGGACCAAATATTCTCTGATACCCGACGAGGAAGAAGAGAAAGAAGAAGCAAAGTCAGCAGAATTTGAGAAGCCTGACCCCACAAAGAACTCGTCTAGAAAAAGAAAGAAGGAAAAGAAGAAAAAGAAACATAGAAACAAGAAGCATAAGAAGAAACACAAGGAGTGAGAGTAGGAGAGAGTGGGGATGGGGTGGGTGAGAGAATATGGATCCAGGAGCTTTGTGACTTAAAGCCTGGCTCCTAGAAACAATCGATAGTGAGAATATGACTCCTTACCCCAGTGACTTTGCCATGGGAGATGGCTTTCCCTCATGCAGCAGGCAGGTTTGGGAGTTGAGGTCAAAAGCAGTTGCCTGAATATGTTTCCGCATTGCACCTGATCCCTTTGCAAGTGACCCCTGCAGCCCACCCATTCATTCACCCAACTTCCTTCACTCAGCAGGTGGTCCTTTACCCAGCTGCCACTGCCAGAGCTGGATTCATTCACCCAACTTCCTTCACTCAGCAGGTGGTCCTTTACCCAGCTGCCACTGCCAGAGGGGATCCTGGCTGAAGCCACAGGTACTGCTGTGGAGGTGAGACTGGCTGTAGTTGAAGGACAGAATGATTGCCCCTTCCTGTCAGACTGTCTTGGGCCAGTTGGCTTATGGTCTCTGCCACCCACACAGGAACAGCAGGACAGTGGCAGTAGGAGAGAGAATGTAGCAAAAAGTGGTGCTCACTTTTTACATTCTCAACATGGTTCTACTGTGCTAGAAGTGACAGCCAGTAGCCAGTCAGAAAATGATATTTTGCAGTGTGACTCATTCTGTGTATGACATTCCACCAGACTACTGAACCAGACATCTGAGGCCAAGATCATTCTATGTATTACTGTGAGTCTACTGGTTCTACTTCAAGTCTCTGCTTAAATTCCTGGCACTAAATGGACTTGTGTTGTTTTAAAAAAAAAAAAAGAAAAGAAAATCAAACACACCTTCCTTGACTGGTAAGAAGGTGTGTGGCATGAGAGGATGGGAAGGCGCTGGCCTTCTGAACCCCCCTCCCTGCAGGGACTTACTAGAGAGCAGTGAGGGCTGTGTTCACCTTCAGTGCACTGGCCAGCGCAGAAGCTCCTTCATCCCCGATGGCATTCTCCTGTAAGCTGAACAAGAATGTGACCTCTTCAGGCACAGGGGTCATAGGCCAGCAGGGACGCTGGGTTTGGGCTTCCTGATTCAATTCAGACCACATACACCAGTGCCCTGGAGATAATGCCCTGCTGTGCAGCCACCATAGCCCCTGGCCCCATGATCAACATACCAAGGGGAGGCTGCATGAGCCTAGGTCAATTAGAGGCAAGCAAGGAAAAGGACACTTGGGGATACTGCTAATAAGCATTTGGGCATGCTTATCAGAAGGCATGCCAACCAGACAATTAACCTGAAGCCCACAGTCCCTGGGCCATTCTTTTTTTTTTTTTTTTTCATTTTGAGAAAGCTGTAGCTCAGGTGTTTTATTATGAAAAGTTGGTACTCATATACATAAGTATATGAGTATAAACTGAAAATTCATCATACATTTACTTCATTTTTTAGCTTGACCTAGTAAATCTTTAGCTTCACTGATTTTGGCTGCCATATAAGGCGATCCTCCTTTGGGTAATTTAAGAGCATAATTAGTCGATGAGCATCTCTTATTTTCCCTTTATTGGCAGTAGGGCTGACACCTAGTATGAATGCTGCTTCCCGTTTTGTCATTTTGGGTTCAAAATGACAGTGGAAGCACCTCCAGAATAGCCACCACTGAAGACAGATTTTGGTAGACTCTGAAAAACCTGTTTTACTTGAGGTTCCATATGCTTCATGGCTTGTAAAGCATAACAGCCTGCAAATCCTGCAGCAGCAATGGTCAGTCAGCCCAACTGCTACCACTGTACTGGCCATGTTTCAGGCCCAGCTCTCCTGCCTTAACTAGGAATGTGGTTCATCTCAACCCAAAGGCCATGGCCACCAAACTACCTTTCATTACCAAAGAAAGACACCATCATTGCCACTATACCCAAACCTCCCAAGTGCCCCTGGACCATTTTTGCTGGTTAAGATTTTGTTCAAATATCTTTTTCTCTGTTTCAAATTGGAGGGAAATTGCAGGCCCTGTGGCTGGTCAGATGGACACTGGCATGTTTAAGGGAGCAAGTACATGTAGTACTTGGCATTTGAGTGTGCCCATGTGCTAGCTGCGTGCAAGACCACAATCACCATTCTGACCTGTTGGAACTCGGGCAAGGAGACACAGTTAATATAGGTCAAGTAAAGGCTACAGGCAAGACAAACTAGGTCTCCTGCCCCGGGGTGGTATCCAGAAGATGCAGATCTAAGCAATCACAAGGGAGTAAGAAAGGAGGAGGGCCTGGTACATCGCAGGACCCCAGATGGACAGATCCAGCTGAGATCCTGGGCTGGTGAAAAACAAGGCCTGCAAGTGTGAAGGAAGCAGATCTTTGGGATCTTCGAAGCCACAATACAGGTGGTGCTTTACTCTCCATGTACTGGGCAATCATTTAAGGACTTTACCCAGGATAGGGGCAGACAGATGATTTGGAAAGATCTCTGGCCAGCAGTGTGGGGAGGCTGCTGGGTGCAGTGACTGCCCAGGGAAGCAAGTGGGTGGTGCTGGAACTGGGTGATGGCAGTGAGGAAAACAGGTGGGGTGGGTGGGAGACATGGCAGGACATGGAGATGAGCTGGGGGCAGGGGCAGCGCTTGTGGCCTGCACAGCTGAGGTCACAGGAGCTACAGGGGGAACCAAGAAGCAGACTTGTGGAGGAGTGAGTACAGCAAGCTGTAGTTCACGGGGGACATTGTGGGGATAGTGGAGGAGTTCAGGAGAGGCAGCTGAGATATGGACACAGGGTCCTCAGGACTCTGAGTCACTGGAGCCCTAGAAAAAGAGAGCTCCCAGAAAAAGGATGTCATTCAAAAGAAGATGGCCTAGGCCAGAATCCTTGGGAGCCCAAGCATCTAAGAGTGGATGGGAAAAAGAATGAGGAGGACCAGCCAGGGGGGATATCCTGGAAACTACAGGAGAGGATGAGGTTCAAAAAGGTAAGCATGGAGTTACCAATTAATCCAGCAATTCTGCTTCTTGGTCTAAACCTCAGAGAAGTGAAGTGCATGTTCACACAGAGACTTTTACATGAATGTTAACAATATTATTCACAACAGCCAAAATCAGTGGAAGCAACAACTGTTCATCACCTGACAAATGGATAAATAAAATGTGTATATCCACACAGTGGAATAGTTTTCAGTCATGAAAAGGAAAGTATTGATACACATTACAATATGGATGAACCTGAAAAACACAGAAATAAAAGTTTGTGCTGGGGTGTAGCTTAGTAGTAGAACATGCATGCATCAAGGCCATGGGTTTAGTCTCTTAAACACACATAAAATGTAGACCACAAAAGACCACGTGTTAGATGATTTGCTTTATATGAAATATCCAGAATCCATCTTCACAAAATTAATGATTTCCAGGGATACAAGGAGAAGAAAATTAAAAGTGACCCGTGCTCTTTTTGGAGTGATGGAAATTCCTAAAATTAATTGTGGTGATGGTTGTACAAGTCTGAATGTATACTGTACTGGAAACCAGTGAATTATACATTTTAAATAGGTGGATTTTACGGTACGTGGATTTTATTTCAGTAAAGCTGAACATATGAATTTTCAGCTCCCCTGCCCCTTCCCAGACGCCCCGCTGACCATACTTACTCTAAGCTGGTCAAGCTGCTGTTGAGCTGCAGTGCTTGTCCCAGGGCCCTGGCGGCGCCCACCTGGATGAAGTTCCACTGCAGGCTGAGCAGACACAGACAATGAGCATGCAGCCTAGGGACAGAGTCAAGGAGCTTCCAGAGTGGTCTGACAGGAGGTAAGTCTCTGTGTCGCTCTCAGGTTCAGCCCCAGATGGTCAGTGTGTGCTGCGTTAGTGGTGACCACAGGAACAAGCTCAAGTAGTCCACAAAATGTGGGTCATCCCAGGCCTAGCCAAAATGCCCCCCCCACCTCTTAATTTGATCTGTTTGACGGTCAGACAGATAATAAGGACCCTGGGTGGACACAGCTTCCCAGAGGTGGCAGCCTGGGGAGGTCCCTGCGACCTCAGAGAGGGTCCCACAAAGATAGGCTCTGGAAGGGGCATGTGAGGGCAGGGACAGTAGACTCACTGAAGAGACTGGAGTGTGTGGTTTTCTCCCACTGCCACTGCAATGGCCTGGGCCCCCTGGTCATGGAGGAGGTTGGCTGTCAGGCTGGGATGAAGAGAGAAGAAACAAGTGAACGGGAGCCACTGTGAAACCCCTCGTCCTTGGTCACTAGGAAATTCCAACTCCTTTCCTCACTCCCAAAGACCAATGGCTTCACTGATGTTAGTTAGCTGATTCACATCTCTAGAGAACCTGTGGGCCTGACCTCCTCTCATGTAATCTTATACCAAATCTTTTTTTTTTTAACCAAATCTCAACAGAATCAGCTCAGTGGGTTTGGTGACAGGTCACAGGGCTAGAATGTGGTGGAGCAGCCCAGGGATTCATGGCCCAATGACAGGGCCCCATATCAACTCCTCTGTGTCCCTTCCCATGAGCTTGCTGGTTAATCCCCAGGGGTAAGACTGGCACAGTGGGGCCAAGAATATAGCTCAGTGGCACAGCACCTGCCTAGCAAGCATGGGGTCTCAGTACAGTTCCTGGTACTGTCCCCCCACCAAAAATGTGTCACACTATCCTCATCCAAGTATAATTTATACCATAATAGGGGTTTGTGTTAGAGTTAGACCTAGACACCAGGTTCTCCTGCTATCCTCTCCCCACCCAAGCCCTTCTCATGCCTTGTGAACTAGTAACGGCATTGAGTGCCTGGCCCAGTATGTCAGAGCCAGTCGATGCTGGGCTCTGGGTGAGCAAGTAGGCCATGGGCGTAAATGACCCAGATGAAACACCATCCTGACCTCCCTGGCCCTCCACGTACTCCAGGTGCTTCAGGGTGCTGTTGCTGCCAAGAGCTTGGGCCAGGGCCTGGGCTCCCTCGGGGCTGATGGAGTTCTCCCGCAGACTAAAGAGAGAGAGAAGACCATGAGCATCCAGCTGAACTGGTAAGACCTTCAGCAGGAGACAAGCTCAGGTACTCAGGCTTTTTGAAAGCCCAGAAGACGCTGGTGGGCCCTGAACATCCTGAGAAATCTGGGCTGAGGTATGAAGGAGCCTGAACTAGCAAGCCAAGGGTCTGGTGGCTAGCAGCCAAGGGTCCCCACCCAGGACTGTCAACAGTCTTGAAGGAAGAGGACGGGATGGCAGGACTTAGAGGTAAGAAGGGCGAGACACAGGCTTGCATACTTGGGTACCTGATGATGGGCTTACACATAGGAAGAGAACAGCAGAGTAGCCTCTGAGGGGCCACAACTGTCTCCTGCCTCACTGAGAGAGCAGGAAGAGGGACAGGATGCCCTACTCCAAAACCCGGCTGCCCAACTGTAGATACCCCCACAGCAGATTTTCCAGCCCCAGACTCTCAAAGGGCTGCCCTAGTGACTTACTTGAGGCTGAGGAGGGTCTGGTTGGCACAGAGGGCCCCCATCAGTGCTGCCACTCCCATATCACTGATGGAATTGCTCTGTAGGCTGTAGACAGACGGCATGGTACTCTTCATATGGGGGTCCCTGGACCAGGAGAGACTGCCCAGTCCAGCCTGAGGCCCCAGGTACTGGGTTTTTTAGGAGTTTGGGAGCCCAGAATCTATTATTCTCCTCCTACTTCCTCTCCCACCATCTCATCGTCTAGCCCCTGCCACATCAGGGCGGGTGCATAAGCACAACTCTGCCTTCACCTGGGTGGCTCCAAATGTCCTCAGAGGATGGCTTGTTGGCTCTGTAGCCCAGAGAAAGTCTTGCCACAGAGTCACCCCAATGTGGCAGCCCCACCTTGCCAAGGCTGCTACAGCTGACTCCCTCTTCAGCCACCTGTATTCACTTACCAAGGGCACACGGAGCCTGATATTCTGAAAACTCTACAGCCAACCCCAACCCCCCCACCCCATCTAGATAAATGGGACTGGTGGGGAAAGACTGGATGGAGGGCAGAGACTGAGACAAGAGTTGCCCAGATCTAGGGTTGGTAGGGTACTGGTTGGCAGTCCTCCCCCAGAAATAACATTCCACCATCTGCTGGATAGAGACCCCAGGGGTAATTGTCGCCCATGGAGGGAGGACAGGCAGACTCACTCCAAGTTCAACAGGGCCTGGTTCACCTTCAGTGCCTCAGCCAGGGCCTTGGCACCTCCATCACCAATACTGTTACTGGAGAGCCTGCAAGAGACAGATGCTGCTGAGTCAGCCTCTTGGAGCAGTGGGGTGAAGCTGGGGCTAGGGGTTGTCTCAAGAGGGCCAAGACAGTGCCTGAGTCATCTTCTGTAATTTCTGGTAGTAACCACTCTCTACCTGTAAGAGATCAAGTTAGGAAAGCCCCATTTGACTACCTGGCAACAGCAGGGGCAGGGTCAACCCATGCTGAGATGTATTTGCAGTACTTTATCTAAAGATAATCAAGAAATGCTATTTTCTTTTGCCAGTTGGGAAGGCAGTTAAGTATGAGCCTTAGAAGGGGTTCATGTCCTGGAAATCTAGGTCTCCATTCTTCTAGTCCAGTGTTTTGGAGTCTTAAACCAGCTACCCTGCTTCCACATATCCATCCATCCATCCATCCATCCATCTAACCAACCATCCACTCATCCACTCATCTATCCATCCAGTCATCCATTTACTTATCCTATCATCCATTCATCCATTCCCATGCTTACAAATATGTAAGATGTGCTGGGCATTGAGGATACCAATTTGGCCCTTCTGCATGTCTCACATGAGCTCCTTCAGACTCCTGTTCTGCTTCAGGGCTTCTGCCATCTGCTGGGCTCCCCGGGGCCCGATGACATTCTTCTGCAGGCTGCGGGAGATGAGAGGGGCCCATCAGCACAGCTGGTTGTAGCTATCCCCAGGCTAAGGACAGCCTGGGTTAAGCGTAAAAAGTCAGAGACAAAAAAGGTGCCCTCTCTGTTTATCTCAGCAGCAGGAAGGGGTCTTGCCAAGGATCCAGTGATGTAATTATACTTGAGAGTAAGGGACAAGAGCAACTGGAACTTCCCTTGTAAGATGCCAGAAAGCAGAGACCAAGTGAGAAGTCTCATGCTCAAGTCCTGCTGGACCCTCACCAGACAGTCCACCCCTTTCTAGTCCAGCCAGCAGCCTGCCTCCCACCTTGAGAATCCTCCTGGGGCACAGTCACTGGAGGACATGCAGGGCAGTGTCTTGCCTGTATAAAGCTAAATACCAATCTAAAAATAAATGTAATCTTCCAAAAAGGAAAGAGAACCCTGCCTCTTTCTCAAAATATTTTCTTGAAATAAACTGAGATTGCAAATTCTCTGTCCCCATGAGATGTATTTAAGTCTCTTTCAGAGTTTATTTGGCCCCCCACCAGCTGTATAGTCCTGGAATGTGTTTCTCAGGGTCTTCCTAAGGGCCCTCTCTTCAAAGGTAAACACAAAGCGAGGCTGGGCTCCTGCCTCCCTGCACTGTGGGCATCACCCTGGGTGCCCAGCTCCAAGCTGTGAAGCACCTGCTGGTCCTCTAGAGAGGCAAAGGTTTATTTTTCCGCCTTTGGATAAAAGTAATTTGGAAACACAGATGTCCCGCTTATCTAGTGAATTTAGAATAAGCTCTGTGTGACAAATGGTGCCATTGTGTCCTTTAAAGGACACGTTATTACAGTGTTTACCTTAAAACATGCATGGAATGGGTTGTGTCTGTTGGAAAATAGAAAACGGAGGCATGTTTTGTGTCTTTGCAGCATCATCAGTGGGTTGTCTGTGATGCTCACTGTATTCACTTTAATGCTAATTCAATACTAAAATTGTTCTGTTCTTTCCTACAATTATGGAGATTTTCTGGTTTGGCAGGAGGTTTTATTTTCATCATTTCTCCACACTTATCCTCTGGAAAAGCAGTGAGCATCAAGTTTTCCAGGCCAGAAAGCCTCAGGACCATTCCATCCATTCCTCCTTGCAAGAAAGGCAGAAGCTGAACATGAGAGAGAAGGGAGGAGAAGGGAGGGGAAGAGGCAGCACCACTTACTGCAGCACAGAGAGCATCTGGTTGACGGCCAAGGCCTCAGCCACGGATCTGGCTCCATCGTCCTTAATTGCATTGCTCTGGAGGCTGTAGAGGAGAAAAGAATGCAGCATCAGTGGAGGAGAGACAGCTAGAGAGGCCTGAACATCCGCTCCTGGGGCTGGGGGGGTGGTGGTGTGTGCCCCTCCACAGGACAAGATACCTTAGCGGCACAAGAGGGGCAGCAGTGGCCTTAGTGAGAAAAGGTGCTGGCCGTCATGTGCCCTCCTCATTGCTAGCCGCACAGGAAAGACAGCTGGCCCTTTCCACACGGGGTCTCTGAGCACTTGCTTGCTAACAAGGCGAAAGGTACCCAGGCTGTCTGGATCAAGCAATAGCAATGACAGAAGTAGCCTTCATTACAGCTAAAAGCCACGTGACCCAAGTATTGGCTGGAATGAGAGAAATAGGACTTCTTAACACTGCTGGTGGAAATGTAAGTGATCCAGCCTCTATGAAAATAGTCTGCAAGTTCCTCAAAAGCAATCCTATTCCTAGGCATACACTCAAAAGAGCTGAAATAGAAGTATTTGAATACTTCTACACAATAGCCAGTATTTATTCACAACACAAGGCAGAAATCCTCTAAATGAATAAAACTGTGACCTATCCTTACAGTGGAATATTATTCAGCCATAAAAATGGAATGAAGCATTAATTCATACGACAATATGGACAAATATGGACATCCTGTGATGAGGCGCAACACTCAGGGAGGCACTGTGACTTCGTTTACACAGCTGCCGCTAGAAGAGGGCGTGTGCGTCCATCCAGGAGGACATGTGGTCTGCAGGAGACCTTGAAAACATTATACTGTGAGGGAGATAGATATAAAAAATCTTACACTGTGATTGTGTTTGTACTTTTTTTTTTTTTTTTTTTTTGGTGCTGGAGATCGAACTCATGACCTTGTGCCTGTCAGGCAGGTGCTTATGTTGCCGAGCTAGTTGTGTTTGTAGTAAATGTCCAGAACAGGTAAATCCACGCACTCAGGAAGCAGACTGGTGGTTACCGGGAGGAGGAAAGCATGGGAAGCAACTGCTAATGCATACAGGCTCCTTGATGGGTGCTAAAAACATTTCAGAACTAGACAAAGGCAATGGCTGTGCAACATGACAAGTGTACTAAATGCCAGGGAACTGTGAACTTCAAAATAGTAAATGCTATGTGAATTTCACTCAGTAACTAAACAGAAAGCAAAAGAAGCGGAGCAGTAGTACCAGCTAAGTATCAACTAGAGATAGCTGTAACTGCAGACTCCTAAAAGGGACGCAGAAAGCCACACTGAACGTTGGCACCTTCTGGAAGAAGTGCTATCTGATGTCCCAGAAAGCACATCAGGAGACAAGTCTGATACCACAGCTTGGGAAATGTACAGAGGCATAAAGAGAAGGGAAGAGCAGGAACTTGAACTGTACTTAGGATACACATTCCTTGGCATCCTGGGCCCGCCATTCTGGCTACCTCCCCCTCCTTAGGCCCAGGAGGCAGTGCTCCTGGGGGCGGTGGGCAGGGAGAGAGACCACGTACCTCAGAGAGGTCAGAGTGCGGTTAATCTTCAGAGCGTCAGCCAATGCCTTGGCTCCCTGTGGGCCAATGCTGTTACTGCGGAGGCTGGTGGAAGCAAGAGAGAAAAGTGAGCCCAGGTAGGGAAGGAGGGACAGAGATTACACTGACTTTTAACTTATGATTCTTGATTTCATGTTTGGTGGACCCAGGGCAGAGATCCTCATGTAGGTGAACAAGGAAGAGTTTCCCCAGGTAGCGCCACGTGATGGGGAAAAGGCTCTGTAGCCTCGGGCCAAACGTGGACGTGAGGAGAATGCTGAGCCCAGGTTTGGAGCTGAAAATCTGTGCTTCCTGTGATGAGGCGCAGCAGTTGTTAGAAGAGGACCCAGGGGGACATGTGGTCTGCAGGAGCCCAGGCACTTGGAACCCGCTCTGCGTGAGGTGGGGTACCATGCCCACAGGCTGAACATGGAATGTCATTTCATACGGGGAGAAGGTTCGAAATTCTCCCCTTTGCAGTGGACTTTGGAGTCCTACTTACTCCAGAGTAGTCAGACTTCTGTTGACCAGGAGGGATCTGGCAAGAGCTTTGGCCCCTTTGTTACTGATCTGGTTCTCAGCCAGGCTGCCCAAGGGAAAGGAGAGGTGGTTATTTCAGGTATGTGAATCTCTCTGCTGCCTCATTGATGTTACCTATCATTAAACTCATGGTTTCTTCAGTATCATCAGGGCCTGCTCATGGGTGAAGACAAGGTGAATCTGGAGCAGAAAACCAAGCACAGGAAGCCCTGAGCCTGGGCAAGTACAACCAGAATGGCCAGCAGACCCTGTTCCTGGCAAAGGGTCCAGAAAGTTAGGCCAGAATCCGTCAGAACAGCTTCTGTAGGATGCACAATGAAAAGATCAGGCAGTTGACAATGGGGACCCAGGCCAAAGGTGTGACAGCAAAACGGCTCTCAAAATCAAAACAGAAACAGAACAAAAGAAAACTGATGGGTAGTATCTGCTGATTTCCATGATGTATATACTCCCCACCTTGGCCAATTTTGACAGTCCCAGCTTGCAGAATTCCTGAAAATCTAACAATCAGCTCTTTTGAGCTTATACAAGAGTCCCACCACACTCGTGACCCTCGTTTTCCTCCTGAGCAAAACGGCAATGGTAGTTAGCACAAGCCTGAAAAAAGTAAGAAAGATGGGCTGGGATTTAGCTCAGTGGTGTAAGTGCCTGCCTATGAGTTAAATGATAAAGGATGTCTCAGCCAGATGTGGTAGTGCACGCCTGTAACCCCAGCACTTGTAGGGCTGAGGTGGGGAAATTATTGTGAGTTCAAGGCCAGCCCGGTCTACATAGTGGGCTCAAAGCCAGCTTGAACTACGTAAGAGGGGCCCTGTCTCAAAAACAAAAGCGTCGTTTTGCAGGATAATTTCAATAATAGGCAAAAAGACCCATCTTCCACTTCCAGCAATGATGCTGTTAAAGTTGCTTTATAGTTTTCTGGGCATTCAGCCCAAGACATTAAAACCACTCAGGCTGGACCTTTTCAAACTACATTCCAAGGACCTCTCAGGATCCTGAGGGAACCTTCATAGGTAAGGCAGGTTCAGTGACACACGTCTATAATCCCAGCAATTTGGGAGGCTGAGGAAAAAAGATCACAGGTTCAAGGTCGGTCTGAGCTAGTTAGTGAGGCTCCATCTCAAAAAGAACAAGGGGCTAGTTTAGTGGTAGAGGACTTGCTATGTATGAGGAGGCTGTAGGTTCACTACTATATGACAAACAAAACAAAACAAAATGACAACTTCAGGGACCAACAGGAGGATTCAGAAACCAAGTAGGCAGGGCTGTAAGACCCCCATGTCACCTCTTGCAATCCTACTGGCTTTTTTTCTGTCTGTTTTTCTTATTGACGTTCTGCTTATGTATCACTTTTTTTCAATAGTGGATATTGAACCCAGGGTCTTTGCACTGAGCTACAGTCCCAGCCCTTTTGTATTCTTTATTTTGAGATAGTCTCACTAAGTCATTAAGTTGCCAGGCTGGGCTTGAACATGTGATCCTCTGGCTCAACTTCATAGAGTGCTGTGATTACAGGTGTGTGCCATTATACCTGGCTTTAAAAAAAAAAAACAGTTATATTGCTTAGTTTGACTATCATCCAGCCCACCTTCTATATAAATGTTCTCACACTCTAGACAGTCTCTGTCACCCAAGATTTGGAACATGTCATAAGCAGCCAGGTGTTTTCTGCAATACACTTTGCTGGACATTGTGAATGGGAGGGTGGTATGAAGACCAGTTACGGGAGGGTGGCGGAGTATGTAGGAGGAGTGTTTGGCTTTGTTCAGTGTACTTTTTAGTCCCCGTTAACAAAACTAAACGTTGACTATTCTGTCATGTGCTAAAGATAACTAGAGGTTCCATGCGCTCAGCAATGAAGTGTCAGAGGTTCTGAGCACATTGTAGACAGCAGCTTAGTTCCTTTATCAGGCTCATTGGCTTTTGCTTTTTGTTGTTATTGTGTTAAATGATTCCAATCAAAAATAAAACTTTTAAGAATTTAGTGGAAAAAAATACTAGAGATTCCCATAAAGGGCAAGTATTAATGAGAACTTGTCATGATCATTTTTAAACACCTTTTGCTAATGAGGCAAAGGTTATCCTGCTAGAATAGGCGGCCCTTACACTTGTGCCTGGCATTGAAAGAACTCATTTAACCCTCACAACAAAAAGGCTCAGGTCTTGAGGGAACCCGCTGCACAGGTTACCTCCCCGTGTGATGGATGGTGGATGGTTTGGACCATGCAGAATTGTCTTGCCCTCTGAGGAGCTGCAGGCTGAGGTCAGCCAGGGTGGTGGTCAGGGACACCTTTGTGACCAAGCCGCAATGAGACTCTCCAGTGCCCAGGCAGGGATGGACTTCCCTGGTGGGCAGTACTTCCTGTGCACTGTTCCACGTGGTTGCTAGGAGAAGGAAGGACCTCTGGGGAACCTCACAGGAAAAGATATGGAAGCTCGTGCCTGGTCCTTCCTGGTCCTGCCCCACATACCTTGTGCTTCTCTTGATTTTACTCTGTGCCCATCAGCATAATGAAGCAGAGCCACAGCAGCATTTCTCAGCTCTCAGTACTAGCAAAATGTTGTGCCCAACGGTGGCCCTAAGGATCCCTAAACTCACAAATTAGATACCATTTTAACCCCATCTTTACCCTATTTAGGGAGATGTGACTTTTCAAGGTCACAGAAAGCCATAACTCTAACTACTGTCCTCAGTGACTTACATCACTTCTGACTCATTAAAAATCATCATTAATTAAAATAAAGATTATTTCAAGGCTGGGTGTGGTGGTGCATGTAATCCCAGCACTCAGGAGGCTGAGGCAGGAAGATCATTGTGAGCTCACTATGTACCTTGGACTACATAGTGAGCTCAAGGCCAGCCTGAACTGCATAACAAGACCCTGTCACAAAAGGGCCAAAAAAAAAAAAAAAAAAGGATTATTTCAGAGCCTGGAGACTTGTGTGGATGAAAATTAAAGTTACTTCTTGCATCCTGTTCTCCAAAATCAACTCTCTGCTTCTCCAAATACTACTGTGTCATCAAACAGATTGATGACACAGCCAGAGTATTCCTCAGATCTGAAGATGTTATTCCAGGGGAGAGTCATAAGCATTTAAGTGAGCACAGAAACTTAAATCTAGCTATAACATTAAAGATGCAACTCTTAATTTAAAATTTTAAAAGTAAAATTTCACATTAAATTTTATTGAAGTTAACATTATAATGTATCAAATTAAAATTTCCAAATCCTGTGCCCTGAATATTGTTTGAAAGCAAATGCAGAGGTGTTTAGCGAAACGATGCCTGGGGCTTTGCAAGGAGATACAATCCTATGTCGATGACTGTGCCTGGTCCTCATCTGTCACTTCTCTCTAGTTACAGACGAGGTACCTGAGCCTCAACATGTTTGAGAATGGGCAGAAACAAGCAGGCCACATCGGTAGCCAGTTCCTGTGGATGCCTCTGCTAGAGGACTTTGAGCTGAGCAGGACAGATGATGGGACAGAGGTCAGATTCCCACGAGACAGGTGGGCAGCTTGGGTGGGCCGTGAGGTCAATATTACCTGATTTTCTGAATGCGACAGTCCTTTCTGCTCAGCACGCTGCTCAGCAACTCCATCACTGGGTCCTGGAACTGATTTGTATCCAGCCTGGCAGGGGGAAGAGGTGCTAGTGAGCAGTCTCGTTGCCCCTGGCAGGGCAGGGCCCCTCTGGCTCCTGGCCATCACACCACAACCCCACTGCATGGCTCAGTGATGCTCAGACTCCCGCATGAGAGAGAACTATGGGTTCCTCCCATGGGCTGCTTCCATGACCCATTGCTATGTATCTCCAAAGAAACCATTTGAAAAATTTTTAAAAATTAAAAATTTTTGCTAGCTGGCCTACTTATGAGGGTGCATAGACCCTCCTCACATCCTGAATGACCCTCTTCCTGGACTTTCAAACCCATTGCTCTCGAAGAACAGTGTGCAGTGAGTAGGCTGAGGATCTAGTGAGAGGTACAGCTTCTATCATCCTGGACAGCTCAGAGGGCATCGTGTATCCTGTCTGCACAAACAGATACACTGAAGTCCTAACCTCCAGTTCTTAAGGGATCTAGCCTTTGGTGTATACTTGTAATCCCAGCACTTGGGAGGCTGGGGTAGTAGGAGCCCGATGAGTTCGAGATCTCCTGGACTACATAGTGAGTTAGTTCAAAGCCAGTCTAAACTACATAATGAGACCCTCTCTCAAAAACAAAACAAAAACAAACAAACAAAAAGAGGAATGTGGCCTTTCTGGGCCTGGTGATACATGTGTGTAATGCAAGCACACTGGGAAGCTGAGGCAGAAAGATTGCAAGTTTGAGCACAGCCTGGACATCTTGGTGACTTAGACTGCCTAAGTGTTAGGGATGTAGCTCAGTGCAAAAGCCTTGGGTTCAATCCCCAGATTGGAGGGTGGGATGAGGAGACCATAGCCTTATCTGGAAACAGACCTATCACAGTCCCAGGAGACTAATGCAGAGAGGAAGGTGGGTGCAAGGAAGCTTCCAGGTCCTCTGCGCTTCTCTGCCCCCACGGCCTGCACCTCAGCTCATGCCCACCTGAGGCTCTGACAGTAGAGCAGCTGGGGAAGTAGGCTCTGGAGGACACCTTGGCCAAGGCCCAGGGACAGGTCAGCCTCCTGAGCACTGATGTCAGACACTTGCAGGAGGTAGGCCAGAGCGGCGCGGTGTGGGGGGCTGGTGAGACTGGCCAGGGCACTATTCCCCATGGCCTCTGCCACACTGTGGGCCAGCTCTGTGCGCCGCAGCTCCTGGAGGCAGTATAGCACATTGATGGCACGGGCGCACACTGCTGTGTTGGGGCGCAGGCAGCCCTGCAGAAGTTCAGCCACTTGAGCTTGGTAGCCCTGGTGTTCTCCCTGGGTCAGCAGGAAGCCAGCCAGCAGGGCATTGACCCTGGGCGACAGAAGACCTGAGAGAAAGCGCAGGAACACATCCAGCCGCCCATCTTCGGCCTGCATGGCCCGCTGTGCAGCACTCTTAAAGTGTGTGAGAAAACCCAGCCTGGGCCAGGACATGCCACTCTCAGTGAAGAGGTCAAAAATGGCCCTTCTGGATGCACTGTAGTAATATGCAGCCGCCACAAACTCCTGCAGAGACAGGTGGATGAAGCAGTAGGCCACTGAGGAGACCAGTGTCTCCTCCCGCTGCAGGAAAAAGCTGCACAGGGAACCCTGCAGCACAGCGAGGTCCACACCAAATGCCTTCATGTCCTGCTCATAAAACACAAACTTCTTCTTGACTAGCCCATGGAAAGCCATCCGGCCCAGTGTCCCCACCATCTTACGGCCTCCATGGGCCACCTGCTCAATCCGGGGACTCACTTTGCCTTTCTCCTGACCCTCCCCACTGAGAGCCATCCTGAAGTACCATGAGTAGAGCTCACACATGGTCTGTGGAGGCCAGAGCTCTGGGTCCTGGGGTGCCGGACTGCTGCGACACAAATGACCCAGCACCATGCCCACTAGCCTGCAGAAGGCTGGGACTGTGCACATAAGATACAGGGCCCTGTTGGCCTGTACCTGGCTCAGGATCTGGCCCACAAGGGTTTTGTCCTCGGGAAACATCTGCTCCAAACACCCTTTGATCTCCTCCTCAGTAAATCCCCGGATCTCAGTCATTCGGTCCACGAGGCCTCCTGGGATCAGGCCAGCTGCTCCAGGGCGAGAGGTGATCCAGACAGAAACTTCTGGGAAGAGGTTGCCCCGGACAATGTTAGTGACCAGCTGGTCCACTTGGATCTCCCTCTTTGGGTCTGTGCAGGCCACAGTGTTAGAGAAGTCCAGAGGCATCTTACACTCATCCAGACCATCCAAGACCAAGAGGACCCTGGCTGGAGCTGTCACTGCCAGGCAGGCCTCCCCAACATTTGGGAAGACAGAGCAGATGAGTCTTTCTGCAGACACCTTTTCATAAGCGTTGAGATCCCGGAAGGTGAAAGGCAACACCAGTGAGAAGTCTTGGCTGAGCTGCCCTTGGGCCCAGAGGCGGACAAAGTGCCTCACCAGGGTGGTCTTGCCCATGCCGGCCACCCCAACAGTGATGGAGATGCGGGGTGGGATGGATACCCGGGACAAAGGTAGGAAGAGCCTGTCCAGAGTGATAGTCCTAGCAGGGCGCTGGCCCCCACGTGTGGCCTCCACCTGTGTGAAGTCATGCTCCTGCATCTGTAGGTCACTCAGGCCCTCCACCAGCAGCAGGCTGGCCAGGCGGTGCACAGGGCTGCCCAGCTCCGGAGTGCCTCCCACTCTGCCAAGCAGGGCCTCGCGGTGCCTGCGTATCCTTGAGTCTGCAGGCACAGTCCATGGGAAAGACAGGTAAGGATTGGGCCAGGGAAGAGGACCCCAATCTTCCCCTCTGTCAGCCCCCCAAGTGACTCTTACCATTGCCATGGGGTTCTAGTGGGGAGTCGGACATCCCATCAGGGGCCTGCTGGGACTGACCACCTTGATTGCTCTTCCAGGACAGCAGATCCACAAGGGCCTTTACCTGCTCGGCTGGGGATCCAGTGCCATGGGCCTGGCTGGCCTCTCCTCCCGTCCGCACCTCCTGCTTCTTCATGGAGTTACGGGTAACAGTCAGGAACTGTGAAGAAAGATCCCAAACAGGCTGCCCAGTATGCATCTGTCCAGTGGCCCAGGGGCAGGATGAAAGCTTCGTTTCTCTTTTCCCAGTCTGGCCCCATCGCTATGAAGGGACCAGAGGGCTAACTGCTCCTGGGCATTGAGAATAATTATTAGGATTCAGGAGCAAACTAGACAGAACCTGGTGCTCTGGGTTCCAACCCTGGCTCTGCCACTTACCAGCTGGGTGACCCTGGGCAGGCTGAGTCACCTCTTTGCCTTTTGCTGTCTTCATTTGTAACCTGGAAATGGTAGTAAAGTTATGAGCAGTTGGCTCAAAAGAAGGGAGAAGTGAAAGTGGCCTGTGTGCAAAGAATGAGCAGTGAAGATTCCAGCTGGCTAGCATTTTGGGAAAGCAAAAGTGTGGCAAAATGAAGACAGAGACAAGTTCAGTGTTGCTAAGGGTTGGCAGGAGCACAGAGGATATTTAGGGTGGCAACACTACTCTGTGTGACGCTGTAATGGTGGATGTGTATCCAAGCCTACACAATCCAACACCAAGAGGGACTCTAGGGTGAGCCATGGACTTTGAGTGATGGCGCCATGTCAGTGTAGGTCCATCAGTTGTAACAACCAGATGACTCGGTGGGAGATGGGACACGGGAACTCTGTAGTTCTCTGGCAGTCATTCTGTGTAATAGCTGGGCATAGTGGCTCATGCCTGTAGCCCCAGCACTCTGGGAGGCTGAGGTAGATGGTTGTAAGTTCAAAGTTAGCCTGGGCAACTTTGCAAGATCCTTCCATAAAATAAAATATTTTTTTAAAGAGTTGGATGTAGCTCAGTGTTAGAGTGACTGTTTAGCATGGGAAAAATCTTAGGTTCAATCCCTAGGAACATTTTTTTTTTGTCTTTTTCCTTTTTATCGGTACCAGGGATCGAACTCATGACTGCCTGCTTGCAAGGCAGGCGCTTATGCCACTGAGCTAAATCCCCAGCCCCCTAGGAACATTTTTTTAAAGGTGCTCTAAAAAGTAAAGTTTTTGTTTTTAAAGAAGGAAAAGTGAGAAGGGAGGGCAGCTGGCTCTCAGAGGGCAGCACAGCTGCTTCTCACAGTTTTCCTGGGACTCCCCGGAAGCATGGGGGTTCCACCTGTTTGCTGCTAGGAATAGTGATGCAGAGACGTCAAGAGGCGAAGCCACACCATGTCTCACCTACACACATTCCTCACCCTCTTGGTGCCAAGAGTGGCTGTCCATCTGCGCCCATCTCTGACCCCTGCATGCAATCCAGGTTGATACTGGGAGCCCTAAGCCTGCTCCACCGTTCATTCCTCCTTACCATGTGCAGGGGCCACTGCTGTCCCTCCAGCAGGACCCCAAGGATGCAGGTGGAGGTCGACCACTTCTTGTCTATGGTTCTAGGAGAAGAAAACATAGTGTGAGGTCAACTGAGGTGCAGCCCATTGTTCCTGGTACAGTTCTCCATTAAAAATGATCCAAGTGCAGGCAGAACCAATACAGTGAAATAGCTATACTTCCAAAACTGTTACACAGACTTAATGCAGTCCCAATCAAAATACCCATAACATACCTCATAGACCTAGAGAATATAGTCCTAAAATTCATGTGAAACCAGAAGAGATCTAGAATAGCAAAAGCAGTTTTGGGCAATAAAGGGAAGGCAGGGACGTCGAAATTCCTGACTTGAAATTATACTACAAAACTGTTATGATAAAAACAACATGGTACTGACAAAAACAAAAAAACAGACTCAAGGATCAACGAAACAAAAAAGAAGATGAAGAAACAATTCCAAGCACACTCAGCTACCTTATCTTTGACAAAGGGACCAAACACATTCACTGAAGGAAATATAGCCTGTTTAATAAATTATGGTGGGAAGACTGTCCACATACCAAAGATTAAAGCTAGACCCTTATCTCTCACCATGAACTAAGCTAAAATTGAAATGATCAAAGATTAAAATACTAAAGGTGTCAGGAAAAAAGCAAGAGTCAACACAAATGACATTAAAAAACTATCCTCAGAAGTAATAGCAGATGGCCAGGGATTTACCTCAGCAGCAGAAGTGCCTGCCTGGCAAGTGTGAGGTCATGAGTTCAATCCCCATTATCAAAATCAAAACAAAACAACTAAAAAGAAGCAATAGCATAAAACTTCCCAAGCATGGGGAAAAGACCTGATAGACAGAGAAGTGAGGCATATAGAACTCCAACTAGCCATAACCAAAATAAATCTGCACCCAGATATGTAATAATCAAGATCCCAGATATTCAGCATGAGAGCAGAATAGTAAAAGCTGTTAGAGAAAAGAAACAGATCACCTATAAAGGAAAACCCATCAGAATCATGGCAGATTTCTCAACACAAACCATCAAGAAGAGCTTTGAGTGAAGTATTTTGGTTTTTTGGGGGTGTGTGTGAAATATTTCAAGTCCTAAAAGAAAACGACTTTCAGCCCATACTGATGCACTCTACAAAACTATCTTTCCAAATTAATGGAGAAATAAGATACTCCCATGACAAAGAAAAACTGAAGAAATTCATGACTGTTAAACCAACCCTACAAAGAGTACTGAAAAATATTCTAGAAAGAGATAAAAATGACCACAATTCCCAGCACAACAACAGAAATCAATCATCAAGCAAGACAAGAAATTAGGTGGGAAAGGTACGGAATCAACAGCAGGAAAATAACATGACAAAGACAAGCCAATGCATTTCAGTCATAACCATTAATGTAAGTGGCCACTAATTCACAGGCAGAGTGGATCAAGAAACAAAATCCAACAGTATGCTGTATACAAGAAACATATTTAACTCAAAAGAAAATTCATAGGCTGGGAGTCCAAGGAGAGAAAACAATATTCCGTATGACAGAAACTCAGAAAGACGGAAGGGTAGTTTTTCCATCAACCACAGAATGGTTAAGAAAGATACAGTATTTTTCTATGTCCTGAGGCTCTGTCCCCACAAGGCCTGGTCACCTGGTGAGCCTGCTGGGGTGGGGTGGGGTCCTGGAGAAGAAGTCACACCCTGAGGTTCTCCTGCCATCGAGGGAGCATTAGTAAACCACCGCCCCGTACCTCTGCAACACTCCAGGAACCCAGGATTGGAGAAATGCAGGGGCCTAACTCAGTCCCTTACATTGAGGGACTGACAGCCAATGGGACTGGCGGGAAACGCCCGGGATGCAGCAACAGACTGATTCAGAGAAACACAAGAAAACGGTAAGACAAAGGAACAAAACAAGCTCAGACCTCCAGTCTTCCCAGAACAAGTTCAGGAGACACAGACATAGTAGAAATTAGTTCTTGTATTGTTTGGTTAATTTTGCATGCCTATGTCTGATGCTCTGGGCAGCCATTTTTAAGACAACAAGATGCATTATGGTAGCCATTGTTGATTTCCTGTTATCTTGTTTTGAACTCCTGTGTCATTTTCATTGTTTTATTTTGTTATATCTGATGATGGACAACTATCTTGAAGATAACAAGATGTGTTGTTATCAAAACAACAAAATGGTAGTCATTGTTGATATTCTAGTATCTTATTTTGAAGTCCTGTATTGCTTTCATTGTTTTATTTTGTTTGGCTTTATTCTATTTTGTTTGGTTTGGTTTTAATCTCTTTAAAATAAAAATAAATAAATCAATAAATAAGATTTCCCCTCAAATGGGCAATAGAAATAGACATTTCTCAGAAGAAGCACAAATGGCCAATAAATACAGAGAGAAATGTTCAACATTCCTGACCATTATATAAATGTAAATTAAAACAACACTGAGATTTCACTCTATCTTACTTCAGAAAGAATGGCTGTTATCAATAAATGAAATAACAACAAATTCTATCAAGGTTTTAGGGAGAAAGTAACACTTCTACACTGTTGGTGGGAATGTAAACTAGTGGCAACCACTATCAAAATCCCTGGCCAATAATTGCAAAATCTTGAAAGAGGTTTATATGTCCATCAATGATGATTGGGTAAAGGAAACATATTTATATACAATGGAGTACTACTTTGCCATGAAGAAAGAGAAATTTGAGTATTAGTAGGAAAATAGATGCAGCTTACAACCAAATATTGAGTAAAATATATCAGAAACACAGTTTAAATATTACATGGCTTCTTGTCTTGGTCATGTCCTCACAGCTGGGACAAAACAGCCAATATCCACAAGTTAAAGGAAAAAAGGTTTCTTTTTGTTCACAGTTTGTAGAGGTTTCAGCCCACAGTTGGCTGGCTCCAAGGCAGGGCAGCATGGCAGAGTGGCATGGAGGAGAGGAAACAGTCCATAGCAGGACACGCATGCAGCAACAAGCAGCGAGCCTTCTGAACTTTTATCCCATCTGGTCCCGGAGCCCTCTGAGTGATGGTAAGACCCAGGGTGGGTCTTACCACAGCCACACCCAGAACTATGTCAAAGAATCAGTGAAATGGATCCATCTCTCACACACCTTTGCTCCGCATTCATATACCCTTGATCCATCCACCTTCAGAGAGGCCCATCAGGGAGCACGTGCAGCTTTGGGGAGACATCGAGATACAAGACATGACATTGCTCTCATATGAAAAATCAGACGGATACATAATTTAAAGAGCAAGTAAAGGATGGGTATAGGAATCAGGGAGATATATCTTTTCAAATGGTAAAAGGATCTAGAAAAGGAGGGAGGGGGAGAAAAGGGAAGGGAAACGGAAGTAAAATGAATTAACGTGTACATGAATATAGTCACTATATACTGAAAGATACTAATAAAAAAATTTAAATAAATATAATATGGGACAGCACAAGGTTCTACACATAAATTAATAGAATAAAGATGGCGTCCACGTGCAGCCTAACTGCTTTTGTTTTCTTTCAGTACTGGGGCAAGAGTCTGGAGCCTTCGCATTGAGCTATATCTTCAACGTTTTAAAATTTGTTTTATTTTGACACAGAATCTTCCCAAGCCACCCAGGCTGGGCTCAAATTTGCAATCCTGCCTCCGCTTTCCAGAGTGGTAGTGTTACAGATGTGCACCACTTCACCTACTCATCACTACATATTTATATTAATTACATATAAGGGAGCTTGGTAATGTGACAAAAGTGACGTATCAAACCAGCAAACGTGTGAATTGCCACAAATGTGTGAATCTGCCAGCCTGTAAAAAAAAATTAAGAGCTTTACTGAACATTAGACACAAATTTAATTTTGTGTGGACTAAAGAGTTGAAATTAGAAACACAAAATTTTAAAAGCATGATAAGAAAAGATGAGGAGTATTTTTGAGAAATATTATAAAGTATTTTGTAAAGGAATATTTTTAAAGTAAACCATAAAATTCAGAAGTTGTAAAGATGCTAGCTAATAGATTTGCCTTAATTTAATTAAAAATTTAAATAATCACCTAATATAAAATATTTCTAAAAACTAATAATAGATATCCTACAAAAAGTTGAAAAACTCCATAAACCAAAAGTCAGTGTTTACAACTTACATGAAAGAGCATTGATGTCTTTAATATATAAATAACTCTTACAAAGTAATAAGAAATAAGCAACCAAACAAAATTATAGACATAAATAGAAATAGATACAGGTATAAATTCTCTATGATAAACATGATCATTATGTGTATCTAAAAATATACCAATAAAATGTGATTGGAAAAAAAAGCCCCTAATACACAAAAAAAGAAAAAAAAGATACAGATAATTCATAGAGATACAAATGACCAAGATATTTGAAAGATTTTTAGCCTCACTAAGAATCAAGAAAGAAAAGAATGAGATATCATTTGTTTGTCTTTTTGAGACAGGGTCTCGCTATGCAGTTCAGGCTTACTTTGTAGCCCAGGCTGGTCTCAAACTTGCAAACAATTCTCCTGCTTCAGACTCCCAAGTGCTAGGACTACAGGAGTGTGCCACCACGCCTGTTGAGATACCATTCTTTTACCTAACTGGCAAATATTATGGAAACATAGGCTGCCTTGGTGAGAATGTGGTGCTAATAGGAATCTTAATACATGGTTGGTGGACATATACATTAATACAAAACTCACAGATTTTATTCTTGGGTAGCTTTGGGGAATCAAACCCAGAGCCTTATGCATGCCAGGCAACTGCTCTACCATTGAGCTATACTACCCGCCCAAATTATGGATCTTAATTTGCTGCTATTTATTGCCTTTAAATATCTTTTAAGTGGCTTCCGGGAGAACATGATGGACAGATAACAGCAGTTATGGAAGCTCTCTGAGAAAACCAGCTTAGAATCCAGGAATGGTGCAGTGTGAGGAGTCCTAAGCAGGGGGAGATATACCCTGCCGACCCAAGAATGAACTAAGCTGAGAGAAACCAACTGGAAATGCAATCCCAGTGCTATAACAGGAACAGATAAAATCTCAGTG